GACCTGTCCAGGGCGTACCCTGCTTCTTTTCCTAAGACAGCCCCCCAACTCTGAATAGGATAAGCAGAAGCGAATGGATAGTTTTTAAGCCACAAAACTATTTGTCTTACATTATGCTGTCCTTTAGAAACACAAAAGACAAATACAGTTTGAAGTAAAAAAATTTTTTTAAAAAGTATTAAAATCTAAATTAGTTTGAATTTATATGACACCAACTCAGTGCTGCTATTTTTTAAATTATTCTTACATGTGTATTTGCAAAAATTAAAAACACATTAAAAGCTTGAGTTTGACCTTATAACTATCACACCTATGATATTAAAAACTGTTACTGAAAAACAGTTCTCATCTCTTATAAAAGTTTAGATCTGATCACACAAGTGAGAAAATTAAATGTAACAATAGTAAATAACAGAGAATGAAGAAAAATAAATAAAGCATCTGAAACTTAAAGTCCTTTTTAGGTGTGCAGCCAATTGTTTTTTTTCAGTGTGCTGTTTAAATATTCTATAGTGGCACGAGAGTTATGGTGTTTTTAAAGTTGGACTAAAGTGTATTAGCTAGGGATTGCTAATAGCATTACCTGATGCAACTGAGTTTATATTTTTTGGCAACAAAATCATGGATTGGATAAACCGGTCACATATCCTAATGTGACTCCAAATAATGTGAAGGTTTCTACGTTTAAACAACTGATTAAACTGCACATTATTTCTTGATGTTTCAGGCAGTTCCGTTGTGGACTTTGAATGTGTGGAGGACACTGACCTGATTCTTATCCATTCTAATAAATTGAATTACACCAAGTTTGAGAACCAGTTGGCAAGACTCATGTCAGTGAGTAGTGTTGAAGCCCCCGCAATCAAGTCCTCCTGGCTCCAAGGTGTCACACAGTACCTGGTCCTGGAGCTGGATGGTACACTGAAAAAGGGACACAAGTATCGCCTCTACACTGAATTCATTGGAGAACTAGCTGATGACCTTGGAGGCTTCTACAGGAGCGAATACATGGAGGATGGAGAGAAAAGGTAAGTGTATATAGTGTCAACAAACCTGGAACATATCAACATAGGTAACAATGAAAATAGCAAAAAAGGGTATGTCTTTAATAATTACATTTTTGTTTGAATCAGGCAGCACGGTGGTTAGCACTGTTGCCGCACAGCAAGAAGGTCCTGAGTTCAATTCCAACATCAGGCCGGGGTCTTTCTGTGTGGAGTTTGCATGTTCTCCCCGTGTTTGCGTGGGTTCCCTCCGGGTACTCCGGCTTCCTCCCACCGTCCAAAGACATGCACTTAGTGGGGATAGGTTAATTGGATAACCCAAATTGTCACTAGTGTGAATGTGCGAATGAAAGTGAGTGTGAATGGTTGTCTGTCCCTGTATGTTGGCCCTGCGACAGACTGGCGACCTGTCCAGGGTGTACCCCGCCTCTCGCCCTATGACAGCTGGGATAGGCTCCAGCGCCCCCCGCGACCCTGAAAAAGGATAAGCGGAAGCGAATGGATGGATGGATGGATACTATTTTATATTTAGTTAACGCCGCT